TGAAATCGTTCCAAGATTTCGATATTACTATAGCTGGCTGTATTGAACAACCGGATATTATAGATCTATACCACGGTTTCAGGATTGTTTTATAAATTGCTATTTTACTGTCAGTCAATAGTTTGAATTTCCTCCTTGTTAACCAATACATATTTCTTAATTGTCGGTCGAGCTGTTTTCTCTTGCTATTAACTCTTTAGTTAATACTTCAAAAATCTATGAGGTTATTTGCAAAATGATAGACTTTTTTGTTCAGTCTAACCTAATTTATAAGCACACGACAGCAGGCGTCGCCATCACAGCTCATTTACCGCACAGCGCTTGATCACACATTCACCAATCTTCTTTAATTAATAATTCAAAACTTTACGTGATTATTTGCAAAATGGTAGAGAAAACTTTTGTTCAGTTTGATCTAATCTACACGAGAGTTTTATATGTATCGTTAAGTACCTTGTATATATTCTATGTTAAAAGTTTGCATGTTTATATCCGAAAACAAAAACAATAAGAATATTCTGAATTAGGTACATATGTCCGATAATTTTATCTTGCCATGCACTAAAAATATAAGAAAAAGACTCGACTCGATGTGCTCATCTCTCTGGATTTAAATCTCGCCGTTACAATAAGCACAAGGTCTACTCGTATTTTCCAAAAAGAATGAGACAGAGTTTACAGTATCATGGTAACCCGATAGAGAAGCCATATTTGACATTCGTATCTTGGACCGATCAACGAACCCAACTGTGAATATTCGGAGATCGCGCCACTCGGCTATGCGCGCCCGAGAACGAAGAAAACGAGGGATAGGAGAAGGAGGAGATGGAGGAGGTGAAGGAGACGTGAGGAGGAGGAAGAGGAAAAAGAAGAAGAACGAGGTTACGGAAGAGAGGTGGTGCGCGATCAGACATGCACACGCGCTACGTCATAATCTTATCGTCGATCGCGAGTGATTCAACTTTGAACTTTTCGTTGGCCGCTCGGACGAAAATACACCCGCGGATTCGGCTATCGAAGTGGCACGGCTTGAACGGGAACGCGAATATATGCATATATGATCCCGGCATATTTTCGCGAGCCCGACGTTTTCCCGATGCGCGGCACGATCGAACGCATCGTCAACGAGACGGCGAACAGGGACGCTCGCTCGTTCATTTCGTCGGCGTTAAGTGACTTTTAATCGTGACTTGGACGGCGTCATTTCGTAGAAATGGTAGTTGAGTCATATCGAAAATAATGACAGTCGGGATAGCAGTAGCAACAGCAGTCCGCGGCTGCTCTTTCTTCTCTCTTTCAATTCTGTACATACTTTCTGATAACACGGCATCCTAACGACATCTGTCGTTAGCGTCTGTCATAATTACGAATAATTTTATTAACTACGAAAAATGGCCGAAAAATTTTTTATGCAAAACTGATTAAGATAAAGTTAAAATATAAAGACATTAAATTACGCGTTTAATACGTAAAGAAGTATTTCAAATAAACTAGCCTTTTGCAACTTCTTGTTATTATCAATAACATTGGTAATTTGTTACCAATAGCAACGGTTAACGATGCTCGTCATTTATGAACGATATTTTTCACGAGACCTCTTGTACGTAATGATAACACGACACATTTTTGAAAGACAATTCCATAAAGTGATGCACATCAGTCAAGGAAGAAGTTACAAAAGAAACATTTCCAATATTTGTGTAATTTTTGGACGTAATTTAATGTCTTCATTTTTTTTATTTAATTTTTTACGAAAATTACTATTTTTCATTGCTTACTATCTAAAATTATTCATAATCATGACGTTGTTAGTATATCGCACTGACGTCAAAACACACGTACAGAATAGCAACCTAGATAAATAAAAGGTAGATTCACGTAAATTGGTAATTAGTAATTTCACTAATCAATTTGCAAAGTGTGCATCCCTCATGAATGATATATTCACCACTCATATTTACTACATGGGACAATGAAACGAAAAAATATGAAAAGAATGATTAAAATTTACTCAAAACAGACAATATAAATACAATATAAATATTTAAGTATAACTTTTAGTAAATCCGTCGTTGCATCAATATAGTAAAAAAATTTATATTATTGTGTGATTTAATAATGATTAATGCAGCACAGAATACACATTTGCTTCATAAAGGTATTGAAAGAAGATTGTAAAGTTTTTGCCATTGATTGTCTCACGTCGTGGTAATCATGAAAATCTGTCTGGGAGTAGTAGTAGTAATAGTAGTAGTAATAGTAGTAGCAGATTAGTATTAATAGTAATAGTAGTAGTGATAGAGAGAATCATTAAACTGAGATTATACCATTAACACACGAACGACTGAAACTGTACGATCGTGCGCTCTTTGCGTATCGTAAGATTTTACGTGCATTGTAACACAACGTCCTTTTTTGATGCATTTTCGTTCGAGAGCACTACCACAATACGTGTAATCGTGTGTCGAACAGCGCGTAGTCGCACCAGCGACGCAGTTGCCTTTCTCGCTCTCTTTCTCTCCTTTTCTCACCGTCGCCGTATCTCACACGTAAGTCGACAATTACCGGGACGAATTTTAAATAGATATATAATCTAGGTTTGAGGTCGAAAGTTGTTACGAGATAAAGCGACATGGAGACTCACGCATCTGGGCAACATCAAGGATCATAGAACGAGAGTCGACTGAGTCCCGGACCGGTAAATCCGCCCACAGCTGGTGCGGCGTGGCGACGCGACGAGCATCACCATCTCGTCGCTCAATCGCGTCCCGTGTACCAAGAGTGCACTTTCCATTCAGACGGCGACGGCGGTAGTTTCGCCGCAGCGTGATCAATCGCGCCGCGCAAAGGCATTATTGCACAAACATATACGCACGCATACACACACACACACACGTATACACATGCGCGCCCGTGCAAGAAAGAGACAGAGTGCAATCGTAGTCACTGGGGCGAACCACCACTGCTGTGTGCGTCGAGCCGCGAGAATACATTGTGGAGAACCGACGTAATCTCGTTACGAAGGTGGTAAAGGAGAAAGAGAGAGAGAGAGAGAGAGAAATAGAAAGACGGGGAGGAGTGAAAGAAAAGAAAGAGGTACATTGCACGCGCTATATGCAATCGCGATTATCATGCGATACCATCGCGCCACAGAGAACGTTCAGCGAAACACACAACACGAGGAACCGAAACACGATGAGTAGAAACGCGAGCGGATTCGAACGGCAACGAACTGTGAGCACGACACCAAAAAACACCGTTGTTACAAGAGAGAAAGAGAGAAGGGAAAAAGGGATGATGTGAGCACTGTTGGCCGAGACCGCACTGCAACGCGACCATTCTCTTCGACGGAAGAGACGCAAAGACGGAGCGGCGGTACACTGCTACGGCACTGTCGGGATTCGGCGTAAAGATAGCGAAAGGCCGTCGAGATCGAGAGGCGATTGTTACCGTCCGAACTTCTTACGGCGCAGGAACGTCGGCAGTCCGTGTGAAGGCTCGGAAGAGGTATCCGCTCCTCTCCTCTCCTCTCGTCGGCGTACGCGGCGGTTCCGGATTTTTATGTGACGAGAGCACTCGGAAGACGGTCGCCGGCCAGGAGGCGGAGGAACGTGTCGGAACCGTGGAATTCATGCAGTCCCGGCGCGTCTAGCAGCTCCATCTTGACTCGACTCGGCGATCGCTCGGCGCTCTCTCGGAGTCAAGTCCCGCGCGCATACGTTCCTTCCTTCGAGCCGTCCGGTCGTTCGCTCGCTCACTCACTTACTCGTTCGCTCGCTCGCTCCTCGGTGCGTCCGTCCGTCCGTCCGTCCGTCCGCCCGCTCTCGCTCTCGCTCTCTCGCAGCGTGCCGAGAACCGCGCGCGCGCGCGCACCACCGCCGTACGCGCTCGCGCGCCGCTCTCACTAACACAATAAATCCATTGTGAGGGAGAATTCCTGGCGGCGCATTCCGCGTGTACGTAAGAGTACGGCAGAGAGCGAGGAGGACCGACTCACTCGCTCATGTTCGTGGATGTCGTTACGGGACGAAGGAAGAGACACGGAGGAGGAGAAAGACGTACTCGCGCGTGGAGGGGAAAGGTGTAGGAGCGAGAGAAAGAAGGAGTAAAGTGAAAGAGAGCGAGAGAAGAGGAGAGTACACGAGAGCGAGGGAAAAAGAAAAAAGGAACCGATATACCGGAGGAACGAAGGTGCTGGTGGTAGTGATGATAGTAATAGTGTGGTGGTGGTAGTGGTGTGGTGGTGGTGGTGGTGGTAGTGGGGTGGTGGTGGTAGTAGTGGTGGTGGTGGTAGTAGTGGTGGTGGTAGTAGTGGTGGTGGGGAAGGAATTAATGCATGCCAAGGAGGGGCAGCGAGAAAGAAGGTGGGAGGAAGGGGAAGACTGTGGAGGAAGAAAGACGAAGGAAGAGCAAGGGGCAGCAAGGAGGGAAGAGTACGAGTCGTGTATGGTCGTCGTATAAATAGACGGGAGACGATATAGGCGTCGTATAGTACGACTCCTAGGACAGGTAGTGGATGTTCGTAACATGCGACGAAACTACTCCGCACGCTCGCTTCCCACCCAGTGTGGGCACACCGGGAGTCACTGACACATGCTCGCTCGTTTGCATGCGCACACACACACACACACACAGCGTACGTACGCACGCGAGGCCGGGGGAGGCCAGTAGGAGGCAGCGCGCACGCACGTGTATATACACACACATACACGCGACACCAACGCAGAGCCCACTGCACATCCGAGGAGAGCTCACTCACGTAAAGAACGACAGCAGCATACACACAGATGCACACGCATTCACACTGCTGCACGTTTCATAGTTCCTGCCGCGCTACTCCACCGATACCCCGCCGCTCGCAGAAGGCTTCGCCCGGTTTCACTCTTGCACTCGCGATAAACGTACATAGTAATACACACTACTACAGGGGAGGTAAGAGACTCAAGTGTACGCGAGGTCGCGCGAATTACCGGGTGCCGTGCATGAACGGTGCTACCTACCCTCTCGGTGCTGCGTCGTGTTCCAGCGTGGTAGCGAGGCAACTCGTCGTCTTTTTCTGTTTTCCGATGCACTTTCGCGTACACGTGAAGCGCGTCACGTCGCGTCACGAAGTGAGGCGGACACGGCTGCAGTACGCGGGTCTTTACCGACCGGGAGAACAGCATAGCCGAGACAATGACGACAATGAAGAAGACGACGACGACGACAATGTCGTCGTCGTCGTCGTCGTCGCAGGTCGGAAACGCGAGCGAGCAGCGAGCCGGCACCGAATTATTGACATCGCCGTCGCCGCGTCTCGACGTGTCGCGATGATCCGCTTCGCAGTGCCTCCCTTTGTCCCCCACCGCCTTCACTATCGATGAATCTTTCCTCGCTCTCTCGGTCGCGCGCGTACACTACACACCGTACACCGCACCGCACCGTTCGTCGTTGCGCGCGTGTACGGACTCGGTTGCTCAACTGAACCGCCCGCGACCAGCCGAGTCGCGTATAACCGAGCCAGCCAACCTACCACGCGCGCGCGTCCGCGCATGCACACACGCGTACGTATTAATACACAGAGGGAACACGTCGTCCGTCCGCAACGCGGTGGCTACTACACACTACTACTATTGCTATCACTACTACCACTGTTGTACGACCACAACGTTGTGTCTCTCCTTCTCCTCTTCCACCTCCACCTTTTACCGACCACTACCTTCTCCTACGATTCTACTTCTTCGTCGCGTATCTCCGCGAACATGCACGCACACGTTCCGCCGACCCATTCCGCCGAGCGAGTCGAGGAACCGACGAGCGCGCTCGCTCACTCACTTATGCTCACGCGCGCGCATAGCGCAGAGAGAGAAAAAGAGACGACTCGCACACGCTCGCACGTCACTGACAGTTGCTAGCACCCCGCGTATATACGTATCCACGTACACACCGCGTCATGTACGTCATACCATGATAATTGGAGGTGTTCTTATGCGATTTTCGATTTTGCGTGTGAGATTGAAAACCACGCAACTCGTAATAGGGAGAATGGTAAGATCTACATCACGCAGTATGTATGTGCGTAAGCATGCGTCCGCCTCCGCGTAGCTCGGATACGCGCGCGGTTTCTCATCGGGACGCGCTCACGACGCTCACAGACGGATGCACTTTGTGCGCGCGAGACGACGATGCTTGCGTCGAGCGACGGCTAGTGCCGATATATATATATATATATATGTGTGTGTGGGGCATCGTAGATACGTACGTCTATATGTGTCTGCGTATGTGAGCACCCGGAGCAGCAAACCTACGCACACCACGGCACAACGCAGCGCAATACAGCATAGTACAGTACAGTAGAATACAGTACAGTACAGTACAATATACAGTACAGCACAGTCGTCCGTCGTCACCGCGGACTTGCGGCGTCAGGGACGTGCCGCAGGCGTCGCCACCCCCGTCGTAATTAGTTTCTCTCCTTTTGTTCCGTCTTTTTATATAGATAAGATTGCGATCGTAGGCACAACAGCGCTGCCCGCTTCGTGGAAAACTGAGGAGAATTAATGCAAGATCGCGAGAGGAGACGGATCAGAATTGGATGAAATTCCTCGAGTTCTTGGGAAAACTGGTTAGACCGCTGATATCGCGTTGCGGCATTTGCGCTTAATGTCAAACAGAAATAATAAGTATGCTGTGTAGAGATACGTGTAGTAATTCTCGAACCGCGACTGATTAAAAGTGAATTTAATTGGTGTCAATGGTGTCGTTTTCGTTAGCTAAAAGTTTATCACGTAATTTGCTGTTATAAAGAGAAAAAAAGAAAAAATACATATAATTATCGATATTATACGCATGGATTCAGTTAGGTAAGCATGGGAGTTTTTAGAGTTGAAGAAAACGTAACAAAATTTATTCCTTTTTCGACTTACTATTGCATAAATAATCGCTTTCTAATAGATGATCGCAAATAGTATTCGCAGAGATAAAATGTAATAGACAAGTTCTTGCAGACTTCGTGTTACGTTATGCATGTATTTTTAGCGAGACGATTATGAATCTCGTATCTTCTTTCTCTCTGTCTCTTTTTCTCTTTCTATCTCTGTCTCTCTCTCTTTCCCTCCTCCCCCTCTCTCTCTCTCCGCGGACTGATTACATGCAACTGATAGCTTCGCATCGGCAACTAACCGCTGGCTGGATCGCGCCGAACTATGAATCACACGAGTAGACCAAGTCATATGCTATTTCGGAGTCTCGAGTCGTTTCGCGAGTAGTCAGCGGAGTGAGAAACCAAATTCAATTCTGCGCGTCGTTATTATCATTGTCGTATTATTTTCAACAATAGGGATCAGCGCCTTTGACATTGTCCCTCATTCTTTGTAACGTCGAATCTCATTTTAGCCATTTTGCTTATGTAGAACGTTGCTGTTGTCCGCTATGTTTATTTCTCATTTGCACTTCTTACATATTCC